TGGGGCCATTTTTATTCAGACCACTACATCCTACTCCTTAGTCCCCATGGGCTTGTAGCCATTTCATAATGCAAAAATGGATACAATCTAATCTCAAAAGTCCTCATAGTCTATTACAGTCTCAACACTGTTTAAAGTTCAAACTCTCTTCTAAGACTCAAGGCAATCTCTTAACTGTAACCCTCTGAAAAATCAAAATCAAAGAGCAGATCACTACTTCTCATACACAATGGCACAGTATCCAAAAACGAGGGAAGGAGCATAGTGAGGAAATACCGGAACACAGCAACACCTTAGATATCCGACTCCTTTCAGCTTTGTTGACCTCAGCAAGGAACATGTAAGTATTGGAAAAGGGAGTTCACAGTTGTGGTTATTAAAGGCAAGGGACTGAAAATCATTGACATGAAATAGAGAGGCTGAAATTCTGCTAATGCCACTGCAACACAGCTGGGTAGAACAACATGGATAAGGCATTAAAGCCATAAAGAGTGCTCCATGAACCTATTTAGAGAGTTTCTGTAGAGCTCTTCCAACTCTATGTCCTTTTAAAAAATATTGTTTTTTATACATGTGTATATGTATAAATGTGCATTAATACATGTGTACCACATGCCTATAGGAGCACAAAGAGTTGCTGTGGAACTGGAGTTACAGCTGGCTGTAAGCTACCATAGGGGTGAGGGAAACTGAACCTAGGTCCTCTGATAGAACAGCAAATGTTCTTAACTGCTGAGCCATCTCTCCAGTCCCTCGATGCCCCTTTTATACAAAGTAAAGCCTAAAAACCAAGACCCTCATCTCATCTGAGAAACCTTATTAGAAATATTGAAACTTCGGCCCCATTGATTTGTATTTAAGATTTTCAAAGACGTTTATGCACATTACAATCTTAGAACCCTACGTGCTGACCAAGGAAAAGTCCCCGTTTGATCTTAGACAAGGAGGGTAATAAACTAAGGGCCATATACACTGGGCTCTGAGATCTATTTGTGCTGGCACTGTAGCTTCTCAAGGGCTGTTCTCACACAAGATCATGGATCTATGCAAATAAGTTTGTTCTGGATAGATATAAAACTTCTCTGATTGGGGAGTGGGGATTCAGGCCTTGCTGTACTTCCCAGAGACTTTACACAAATGTCATCTTTCTTGTTTCTGCATTATTCACTCACTGTGGCATAAGTATTTATTAGCTTATCCTTATCCTTTTAACTCCCAACCCCCTTTTTTCGTCTCTGGACTATTTCAGACCTGTTTACTATTTTTTCACAGATACTTCTTCCTCTAATAAAATGCTTACACATTCAAATTTATTTTGGAGTCTTCATCTAGAGTAGTGGTTTGCAGTCTTCCTAACGCTGTGACCCTTTAGAACAGTTCCTCAAGTTGTGGTGACCTCCAGCCATAAAATTATTTTCATTGCTGCTTCACAAATGTAACTTTGCTTCTGTTATGCATCATACTGTAAATGCCTGTGTTTTTTTTGGTGGTCTTGAGGGAGTCCCATGGGAGAGTCCTTCAACCCTCACCCAGACAGTCCTGCCCCACAGATTGAGAACCACTCATCTAGAGTCTTGAGTAGCACAAACCACTGTAGAACACACTTTTACAGATCAATTGTATTGTAATAAAACTACTAGGAGGCTATTAGGCGTAGGTGGCTCTTGTCTTACACTGACACACCATGACCTCAGCAGCCTAGGAAGGAAGCCTTATTTGGCTCACACTTCCACATCACTGTGCTTCACTGAAGACAATCAAGACAAGAACCAAATAGGACAGGAACCTGGATGCAGGAGCAGACCCAGAGGCCAGGGAAGGCTGCTTCTTACTGGCTTGCTCCCCATGGCTTACTCAGTATGCTTTCTAATAGGACACAGAACTACCAGCCCCCATTTGGTACAATCCACACTGAGCTAGTCCCTCTCCCTTTCATCACTAAGAATATGACTTACAGGAATCTTCATAGTCATAAAACTTTAGCACAACTGACCCATCGTCAACTTGACAAACACATCACTGTTAAAACAAAACCTTTCCTTTCTCATTCCTCCCTGAGATCTCACATTCAAAATGTAAATAACTTTTTAAAATCCCAAAGTCTTTTTTTCTAATTCAAACACATTAAAAGTTGAGTCCCTCAGGGCTGGAGAGATGGCTCAACAGTTAAGACTGCTCTTCCAGAGGTCCTGAGTTCAATTCCCAGCAACCACATGATGGCGCATAACCATCTGTAATAGGATCCATCCATCTGTAATGGGAAGAGGTTCTGATATATCTGAAGGCAGCTACAGTGTACTCATATACATAGAATAAATAAATCTTAAAAAAAAAAAAAGTTGAGTCCCTCTATAATGGTCATGAAAATTCAAAGTCAACTGTGGGCTCTTTCAAAATACAAAATAGTTTACTCCAACACTATAAACAACTCAATGCACCATGACCACAGCAGCCTAGGAAGGAAGCCTTATTTTGCTCACACTTCCACATCACTGCCCTGGGATCCACTTACGATCTTCTAAGATCCTCCAAGGGGCTTGAGTCACTTCTCCAGCTCTCCCCTCTGCAGCACACACAACTTGTATTCTGGGCTCCGGCTGCCTCCAGTTCACCACTGCTGCTATTCTTGGTGGTCATCCCATGGTACTGGCATCTCCAAAATGCTAGGGTCCCTTGCTGCAACTGGGCTGCACTGTCACCAATGGTCTATCCTGGGCTTTCCTCGGGAACTCCAGCCCTACAATGCAATGTACAAGCCTCAGCTGCTCTTCATGACACCTTCATGCCTCAAAACCAGTTCCACCTGTGTGACTCTTAACTACCTGATACCACAGGTTTTTCACACAAATAGCCTGGTAGAGTCTTGGCTTCCCTCTGACCCTTCACAAGGCAGGCCTCTGTCATCTGCAGTGATCTCAACATTCTTATCTTCCAGGCTCCTACACAACCTCTCTGAGCTCTCAACACTCGGTGGCTCTTCTAGCCCAAAGTTCCAAAGTCCTGCCATAGTCCTCCAAAAAACAACACAGTCACATCTGTCACAGTCATGTCCCACAATCCAGGTCCCACCTTGTCTTAGTTAGGGTTATTATCGCTCTGATGAAACACCATGACCAAAGCAGCTTGGGAAGGAAAGGGTTTATTTGGCTTACACTTTCATATCACTGTTTATCATCAGAGGAAGCCAGGACAGGAACTCAAACAGGGCAAGATCCTAGAGGCAGGAGCTGATGCAGAGGCCTTGGAGGGGTGCTGCTTACTGGCATGCTCTATGTGGCTTGTTCAACCTGCTTTCTTATAGAACCCAGGACCATCAGCCCAGAGATGGTAAGAACCACAACAGTCTGGGGCCTATCCCTTCAATCACTCATTAAGAAAATGTCCCACAGGCTGCCTACAACCCGATCTTGGAGGCATTTTTTTTTTTTTACATTGAGGCTCCCTCCTCTCAGGTGACTCTAGGTTGTGTCATGTTGACATAAAACTATAGAGCACAGTTCTAGAGTTCCATGTTCCTTAAGAAGCCCAACTCAAGGTAAACTCAACCAACCAGAAACTACCAGCTGAAAGACTATGCTAACTAGATGCTGCTAACTAGATGCTGCTAACTAGATGCTGCTAACTAGATGCTGCTAACTAGATGCTGCTAACTAACCTCCAATGAGGGACTTCCCCACTGGAACCAGTGAAATACCCCCTCTCAGTAGCACACAAACCTATCTGAGGTCAGGTGCTGTCCACTGCATGAAGAACAGAATGTTTCTGAAATGACTATGTCATTTGTGTTTGATTAGACAATTCTCAGCCCTCTACCACTCTCCTCTCACCAACAGTTAAGTCTGCTTTGACAATAAATACATTTTGAGATTTCCATGGCCTTGACCATGGTCCTGATGTATTAACCAAAATAATAAAGTAAATTGAAATAACTACAAAAGGCATGTCAAGTCTCAAACAATTACTTTGCTCTGCCAGGAATCAATGTTTAAACCGACCCTCATCTGACTATGACTTAAATTATAGTCTTTGTAATTTTTACCTTAAAACTCTAATTTCCACAGAAATTAGTCCCTCGACACAGAGAAAATTTGAGAAGTGTTCTGTGGTCGCTCAAGTTCATGATCACTATATTAAACACAATCAGAATTTTTAGAGTGATTTATAGTCTAATACATATTATAAATCTATCTGAGATAAATGGCATGTTTCTCTGTACAATGGTGTTGACTACAGAATCTTCTCCTGTCCCAGAAGGCTTCAAACCACAGAATTAGTAAGATGCCTTTTCTAGGCACTAAGATGTTTGTTTGC